AGATCAGAAATAATACAGTAGAATACTGTACCATACCATTTCCATTATTATGATTATTTTCGAACTTTTTTGGTCAGAATTATATTATAGTTCAATCAAAAATTAGTGAGTTGATATACTTTTAACTGAAATCTGAAGCTAGAATTGATTTACTTGGGTCTGTGTGGACAGTTTTCTGATCACGTTTGAGCATTGTTTTCTAGGTTTATTTTTATTACAATTTTCTTATACAGCGTTTTCTATGTCTTTTGCTTCAAACAAGGTTCTGCACAAGCACTCACTGATCGGTACGAAGCTATTATAGTTTGGAAATACCAGGAGCTTTTGTATTTTTACTGATAGTTTTAACATATGATGATTATAAGTCAGACACCACTAGGCTGCCTGGCCACTGATATAGCTGAATTAGAAAGCCCATTTTTATTCAGGTCCTGCACAAAGTCTGTTCAATCTACTTGAAGTAATTGTTTGAGGTGACCTATAATTTAAATTTTTGTTTTAGACATTCAATCACTAGGGAAAAACAAATGGCAAACTCAAAATTACGTCAATTATTTGGATCGAGGAAACGAACCTTTTCACCAGGAAATACGGTAATACAAGCTTTTAAAAATACTTGTCAGTTTCAAATTGATGCTATTTATATACCTTGAAAATTCTGATGACCAAAATATGCTAACATCGTTTTACCAATTAATTTCTGTTTAAGAATTTCATGTTCCGACCATGCATGATATGACTAATAACATGCCACCAAGAATTGAAACATAACTACAATATTAATTTATAATCAATAATTTTTATATTTGAATTCAAATTGAAAATCCCTCAGCTTGACCAAAAATAGGTTTCGATGTAAAATGTATTTCGATGAGATATTCTTTTTTATGTTTTTTGTTTGTATAAACATTCATTTATTTAAATATGACAAAAGTATTGAAAGCACATTTAGTATTCACTGTTGAAACTTTGTTCAGGAAAATTTTCCCTTATACTCTAATAATAAAGTAAACCTTGTAGTTGTGGACTTGTGGCCCATCTCTGGTACATATGTAGTTGAATATCCCTTTTGCTTGATTTTCAGAACCAAGAAGTTCTCGCTAAACGTTCCAGGAATCAAAACTCCAGGTAACATTTTTATTTAAAGTTTGTAAAATATCCACATGTGAATATTTGACTTTTCTGGGTCTTTATAGTCATTTTCAAATAATTTACCAAAACTGATGTCAAGCGAAAACCCAAATATGGTGCAAGATCGCATATTTTTGCATTGATTCACCAAAAAAGATGTTTTCATTATCACATAAAAATTCTTAACTAATATGTAATCATCCGTCTTTACCATTTTACATTGTTTTGTATTTCATTCAACTTGTTATCTTTTGCTTCACAGCTATCCATCACCGAGATCAATATTAAAACGAAAGCTGGAGGAAAGAAAAGAGTTAAGAGGTTAGTTAGTCAGTTAGACGAGAATATTGGTTCTTCTTTCGCCCCCTTAAAATTTGAAAATAACTCCAGGTTGAAGGCAATTTTGACTTCAATTTATAAAAACATGGAAAACTCTGGCATATACAAACTTTTTTATTTGACTATTGAGAATGCTTGTTCAACATAGGGCTATTTGAGATTCTTTCATTAAATATATGAGTTTTGTATCGCAACTCTAGAAGATTTCAACTTTCGACTTTAACACCTGCACCTAATTCTGTACCAAAAATTTAAATGTATATCAATTAATTGATGCTAATATTTATGCATTTCATTCAGATGTCGATATCATCCACAGCGAGTCGGAAGATTCTAGGAGATCTTCCGACTCGTATTGTGTGAAGAAAAAAGTTCGATTCTCTCTTACACCATCCTCCAGCTTTTTCAAAGAAAATCTGGTTAATTCTAAAAGTGAGTATTCCCAACAGCAAGGCAAAATATTTTTCTAGTGTTACAACTAGAAGTATTGTAGAAGTATTGTGCAATCCCATGTATCTCTTCTAATTTTGTTGTTTGTCTCTAGTTTTGAAATTGTCGCTGCATTGGATTGATGATATATTAGTGACTTACTACTTTCTCTTTGCCTTAGTATGCTAAAATGAATGTAACCAATTTAAGATTTTATATTCTATTTGGCTAAAAATTAAATTGCCTTATGTGCAAGATAAAATCTTCTAACTTTACAAATTAACTTTCATTTATTAACAACCTGAATTTGCATATATTAACATTTTTTTTTTCAATTTTAGTTCAACCTTCACCTTCAAATAAAAACAGCTGCCTCTGGCGTAGCCAGCGACTACGCATGAGGCAGCTGAAATCTGATCAGAACAATATACTTGGGTATGTTCTTAGATACATTAGTAAGGATATTAACGATAGGATTGACATTTTATCCTGGAGAAGAAGAAAGCCGATAAGGTGGCTTAATAACCTTATGTCAACCCACGGCCTCCCGTCCGGTTACCATTCCATGTTGGGTATGGGATAAGTTAGTTATTTGTTTTTTCACAAGCATGGACTTGATAGTGGAGGAAGCCGTAACCGACCACCGGTTACATGAACCACCCTACCACGAGGAGGAGTCTAGCAGTCCTCTCACACATAACTATCTCTTCATGGGATTCGAACCTCCAAATCCATGCAGAGGAGTTGGTGAATATTTTTTTGCAAGTCCTATTTTAAACAATGACCATTATTAGTCCGTAGTCAGCGGTTACCTGCATTTAGAAAAAAAAATTAAAATCGCGAAAATTAATTTTAGAGGGAACTACGTTATGACTCGCAGATGTCAGTAGCGTCGTATTGGTTTATATGAACAAAAACACCCTCGCATGTAGCGTCGATTAAATGCATGAAATGTAAAACTATTACTTGGAATTTATTGTGAATGAAGTTGATTTTTCATGTGCCGTAATTAGTGACGGGAAAAATCGTATTTTTTATTCAAGTTATATATAGTTTATAAGTAAGTATCACGTATATCGAAGTTTGGTTTTTATATTTCGGACTGGATTGTGAGTTCACATCGACGAAGATGTTAAAGACAACTATTTAGGAGTGCATTCACAACACAAATTAATTTTATTCTGATTTTTATCTTCAGTGTAGGATTCGTATCACGGTTTGTAAATTACTTTCTCAATTTTGAGCAAACAATATTATCATTACTGGCCCCGGGATGCGATATTTGTGAAGCGGATAGTTGACATTTTTATGCTTTTAATTTTAGATCATGTCCGTGTTACTTGGTATTGAATAATAATTGAAATCTCTGCAAATTGGTAATCTCTTGAATACTAGAGTGTCGAGTATTCACGTAACTCAGCTTTGGGTCAAAACACGGATACTATATTCTTGAGAAATTTCCATAAAATACATTGTTTACCTAACTTACTCTTCTTGTTTGACGTTTCTAAATTTACAAAATTCAGTGTCTGGTATTCACGTAACTCAGCTTTGGGTCAAAACACCGATACTAAACTCTTGAGAAATTTCCATAAAATACTTTGTTTACCTGTCTTACTTATCTTTTTCGACGTTTCTAAATTTACCAAAATCAGTGTCGAGTATTCACGTAACTCAGCTTTGGGTCAAAACACTGATACTAAACTCTTGAGAAATTTCCATAAAATATATTGTTTACCTGTCTTACTTATCTTGTTCGACGTTTCTAAATTTACAAAAAACTCAAAGAGTCGAATATTCACGTAACTCAGCTTTGGGTCAAAACACTGATACTAAACTCTTGAGAAATTTCCATAAAATACATTGTTTACCTGTCTTACTTATCTTGTTCGACGTTTCTTAATTTACAAAAAACTCAGAGTCGAGTGTTCACGTAACTCAGCTTTGGGTCAAAACACTGATACTAAGCTCTTGAGAAATTTCCATAAAATACATTGTTTATCTGTCTTACTTATCTTGTTCGACATTTCTAAATTTACAAAAAAACTTATAGTCGAGTATTCACGTGACTCAGATCTGGGTCAAAACACTGATACTAAACTCTTGAGAAATTTCCATAAAATGCATTGTTTACCTGTCTTATTTTGTTCGACGTTTTTTAATTTACAAAAAACTCATAGTCGAGTATTCACGTAACTCAGCTTTGGGTCAAAACACTGATACTAGCCTCTTGAGAAATTTCCATAAAATACATGGATTCCCTGTCTTACTTATCTTGTTCGCATTTCTAAATTTACGAAAAAACTTATAGTCGAGTATTCATGTGACTCAGCTTTGGGTCAAAACACTGATATTAAACTCCTGAGAAATTTCCATCAAATACATTGTTTACCTGTCTTATCTTGTTCGACGTTTTTAAATTTACAAAAAACTCAGTATTCAGGTAACTCAGCTTTGGGTCAAAACACTGATACTATCCTCTTGAGAAATTTCCATAAAATACATTGATTACCTATCTTACTTATCTTGTTCGACGTTTATATATTCACAAAAAACTCATAGTCGAGTATTCACGTAACTCAGCTTTGGGTCAAAACACTGATTCTAGCCTCTTGAGAAATTTCCATAAAATACATTGTTTTCCTGTCTCACTTATCTTGTTCGACGTTTCTAAAGTTGCAAAAAACTCAAGAGTTTAGTATTCACTTAACTCAGCTTTGGGTCAAAACACTGATACTAAACTCTCGAGAAATTTCCATAAAATACATTGTTTACCTGTCTTACCTATCCTGTTCAACGTTTCTATATTTACAAAAAACTCAGAGTTGAGTATTCACGTAACTCAGCTTTGGGTCAAAACACTGATATTTTAAACTCCTGAGAAATTTCCATCAAATACATTGTTTACCTGTCTTACGTATCTTGTTCGACGTTTCAAAATTTACAATAAACTCAAGAGTCGAATATTCACGTATCTCAGCTTTGGGTCAAAACACTGATACTAAACTCTTGAGAAATTTCCATAAAATACATTGTTTACCTGTCTTATCTTGTTCGACGTTTTTAAATTTACAAAAAACTGAAGCGTCGAGTATTCACGTAACTCAGCTTTGGGTCAAAGCACTGATACTATCCTCTTGAGGAATTTCCATAAAATACATTGTTTACATGTGTTATCTTGTTCGACGTTTTTAAATTTACAAAAAACTCATAGTCGAGTATTCACGTCGCTTATGTTAATATCGAAGAAGACTTCTTATCAATAAACTAAAACCCGGAAAAACTAGACCAACAGTTTGCGACCGATTGCTAAATAAAACAGTGGAGTACATCAACGTACCCGCCGCAATCTAGCGACTTTTGTCGTTGGTACGTATACGTGCCACCGCACGGAAAGGGTTAAATCCTGCTCTTTATATTACTCGATGCTGTGATCTGTCGACAAGGCATGCTTGTAAAAGTTCGAATTTCAAAAATACCCAAACCAATTTGAGTTTTTGTACCTTGACTGTCAAATTCAGGTACTCAAAGTGTTGATAGTGCTTCCAGCTATTTATTGACCTATTCTATCATAGTGTAAGATTAAAAAAATAAATTTAAAACATGTCGCAATGCGCCAGTTATTTTAATAGATAGGATGGCTGATCCAATTCTGAGCCCTATGTTTGGATATTTACAGTTAATGTATATAGCAGCGATTCCCTAAGGGTGTGCCGCGAAAATGAAAATTTTGTTGAACAATTGTTTTACCTTTCTATGTCGTTTACTTTCCATTATGTAGTGTTTGCCTCTATTGTTACTCAACAATAAAGATAGTCAATACTTGCAGCAGTTCATTTATATGCTGAACCAACCAAGTTTAGCAAACATTATTAAAATTAATTAGTTATAATTAGTGCCCAACCTCCCACTAGATGCAAAAACACTCAATCTCAAGTTTTTTTTACAATTTATTGGGCATTAGGTCGCATTTGGGGATTTGACATCCTATTTAGTGTCATCTCTCCGAATAGAACTCTAACGTATGCTTTTGAAAAGTCATGAATCAATTTCTAAGGCTGGTTGGCAATTTAAAAAGAAGTAATATTGAATATGATGGTGGTTCACTTGTCTTCCATTCATCCAAGTTGATTTAATTGGAAGTTAAGAAAAAATAACTTACAATTATAATTTGAATTATATATTTTAAAATTTTTCGACATCGTATAATGTGTGCCGTAGAGATTCGGAGACTTTGCGATTAACATTAGATTTGGCGTCTAAAATATTGTATTTGTCACAGTGATCCTAAAGCAAAAGCGATTATGTTTTTTTGTTTAGTGATGATTTTACTGTCTTGGGTCTTGCTTGTAATGGAAAAAATCCAACCGGCAATGAGAATATTAAAAAAAGTCTAAATTTAACAGCCAGATTAGAGGTTACAGGTATTCTATCGTTTATTGTAGGTAAATTCCTAGCTTCTATTACTTGATTGCTTGATAGATATTTTTGAAAGATATTTTTGGTAATTGCTGTTCTGTAAATGTTGCTTAAGAGTTTCATTATGTCAAAAAAGTCTGCAGTTGGGCATCTTTGTCTAGTTCTCACTGCTAGTCCATGGGGAATGTTCTGGTAAATACGCTTTCTGTTGCGGGGTGTAAAAGATATTGGTGTGTGTGTGTGTTGGTTTGGAATGAAGTTTTCAGTTTATCTATTAGGTGAACCATTGGATCTAAAATTACTAATGGATAAATTGTAGAAGTAAACGATTTTAATAAATTTTCTCTCGGATCTAACACACTAACGAATTCGCAAGATCGCAAAAATAAAGATTAAAACTAAATACAATTAGGAGTGTTTATCTCATATTTTTATGTCAACAGATGATATTTTATAGAAGTAATGTTTTTATTTTGACGCATAAAGACATAATGGTGAGTTACCTTGGACTCGATTATATTAATATGGAAAGATTTTAGATTCTCGTAGCTGACATGGATTGAATATTTGACGTGACGCAAAAGTCGTTATACGCTAAAAAACTTGGCTCTTCTAACGAGCGCACAATCACGGCGACAGTTTCAGAAGGGAATGGGAATTTTTCGATTTTGAAACCCCCCATTAAAAAATCCTGGCTGCGTTCCTGGGTTTGGCAAATATATTGAGGAAAGTTCTGGTAGTTCTCTTGTACACTGGTTGTATCACTCTAGTAAGAGGTCATTTCATTCTGTAATTAGTTTCTCTCCCTAGTTCATTTAGGAGCCACTTTTTGTACAAATGGTAGTGTTGAGGTTGATATGTGATGTAATCTTGAAAAGTTTTTACCAGCGGGAATGCTTTATTTATTAATCAGTGGTATTCAACTTCCATTTTTTCTAGGCTACAAGTAACAACAGAAAAAGGGAATTCTTAGAACATCTGTATTGTAATACACATACACCTCATTTGTGAGAGCATCAACTAGCTCCCTTGTTTGTTGATAAATGCTTTGCAAGCAATAGGGAGTACTATTATGTATTGAATTTTCATACCAAAATTTTGACTTTGCTTGAAATCATGCCGAATTGGACCCTTCACATTGAGTGATTTGCATTTGTGATATGGTTGACAGTGATCGCGCATGTAGAGCTCTAGGCATTCTCGGGACATTTTTGGTAGGGAGCCTCGTTTGCATCATGCAGGGCGTCACTTATTGTGTCTTCCTTTGGTCTTTGTTGATCTTCACTGTTGCGCTCTGTGTGTTCCTGTGGTATTTCATTAGTCCTGTCTTCGCTGGATCCTTCAGGTTCATACCAAAAAGTATGTTTTTGAATTTCATTCTTTGGACCTGGGAATGATGTAATTCTTCAAGGTTCCTATTTCTTGGAAAGCAGCTTAATATCTTTTGATAATATTTCTGGCTGGGTTGGTCTCACCTAGGCTGTGATGAGTAAAGTTTCGGTATTGCAGCCTGCATATTCGTCGTTCGTTGAACTCAACGATACCGACCACATATATTCGAGCATTTGTCACTGTTTTGCAGTACATTACACTGCCTTCGTAATACCCCGCACATCTTAGTGGCTTAGATCCATATGGTCGAATTTTAGTTCTTTTAAGCAGTAACTTGAGCTTCTGAGCATTGACATTGATATCAGCTCCAGTGTCGACAAATGCTTTGACGACTCTTTCTCTGATGACTATGTTGATAAAGTAACTGCTGCTGGTTAGTTTTGTCTGATGTTGCTTGTGCAACCGTTTGATCGGCAAGATAGTCGTTTGATTTTTGTTAGTTTTTTGAATGTTGACACGATGTGTCTTCGGCATAGACGATTCATTGCTGTTCATGGAACTGTCCCTCCGATTTTTCTCATCCTCACTCTTGGTCTCGAGCCGTCGAGTGTCTCTTCTCTTTTGGGGTTTTATATTTGCAGCTTTTTGTACCTTTGAAGTGGCTTTTCATACAACAGGCAAAACATTCTAGACCATAAGCCATGCACCTTTTCCTACCTTTGCAGGTTTTAGAAGAACATGTTGTACATGTGATTTTGTTGGCTCGTTCTTCTGGACTTCTCCTGGTGCTTCTTGATTTGCGCGAATACTTGCCTGGTTTTGTACGCAGCACATTATTTTAAGCAATTATTCTTTCCGCACTGAGGGCTGCTGATTCAATCCTTCTTCCGTTATCAATTAGCTTCTTTGGATCCCACTGATTCTTCAGTGCTTTTTTCTGATTTCTTGATTAATTGTACCAATGATTATTTGGTCACGTATCAGTATGTCTGCTACGGTGCATGTTTTACTGCACATGAATTTACAGGCCTTGGCAGGCCTTGCGAAGTTGTCAATACTTTCTTTTTCTTCCTGATGCAGTTCATGAAATTCAAAATTTGCAATGGTGTAGTTACGGGTTGGCCCGTATCACTCTTTCATTTTATCAACAAAATCTTTGAATTCGAGATCTGCCACTTCACCTTCTGGCACGACATCTTCATAGTCTTTTTGAAAGTTTCTCGATGCAATCTTCCAAGGAATACTTTTCGCCTATTCCTCTCGATCCATGCGTCTCTGTGCCCTCCTCTTTCGGAGGATCTCTGGCAATGGCATCGTATTCCTATTGGGATGAATCTACAAATTCGCAGAATCTGTCATGATAATTGCCGCAGTGATTACAGGATCAAATTTGTCAAGCTGTGTCATTTGGAAAGCCATGTTGGTCTGTACGTTAGGACTTCCAGAGTTGTTAGTTGAGTTTATCCTGGTCGCCATTAATAAGTTCCACTTTATGCAAACACAAGATACTTAGATTTAAGGTTAAATTAAAGTCCTAACCATGCAGTCTAAAATACAACGAAACAGATAGTTAGTTGGCATGTAGCTAGTGAGAACAAGGTAATATGGGCCAGATTCGCAAACATAACACTACAGTCTAACTAGAATAATCCATAGTCAAAGATAAGTCAACCACAGGTGGACGTGGGCAAGACTTTTCATTTATAAGCTGACTATGTCCAAAACACTATTTTCTTTCCAGCATCGATGATCAATCTTTTTATATTTTCTTTTGACGCATGCCCAAACTGTTTGTTAATTTTCAATGTATTGTTTTATAACTTTTTAACCCGTTTTCTGACTATAAAGATTCAGTTTCGAGGTCATAGACCAGTGGTTCCCAACCGATGGGAAATTTCCCACTAGTGGGAAATTTGGTGGTTGCAGGTGGGAAATTGATTGCTCCTCTAAAAATGTTTGTACAACAACACAATTATTAAATATTACACAATGAAAATCACAATATATGCCATGAAGTGGAAAAAGATTCCCATTCAATTAATCAAAACTTTAGTAAAATATCAAGTTGATGGGCATGATATTCTGATCTTGTTACGCAACTCATTTTGATCTTTGGTCGGGCCGATAACAACCTCACAGGCCTGTCTCGAGCGAGCACCAATGCTTTAAATTGAACGTTACGCAAGAAGATTTACGTTGCAGAGCTGCAAAAGAGAACAGTTTTTATTCAAATGTCTCGGAGATATTGGGTGAGCACGCGCTCTCACGAACAAATATTTGACTCGTCCCTCCATTCTGCTAAATTGTTAGAAAAAGGTAATGACTTATGTAAAAGTAAAGTACGATCATAGTCATCTCGACTACGTTTCACGTTTTTACCGAAAATTTTTGAGCAACTGCCGCAATGCTTTTTTTGCACTAAGACCACATATATTCGAGCATTTGTCACTGTTTTGCAGTATATTATTACACTGCCTTCGTAATACCCCGCACATCTTAGTGGCTTAGATCCATATGGTCGAATTTTAGTTCTTTTGGGCGGTAACTTGAGCTTCTGAGCATTGACATTGATATCAGCTCCAGTGTCGGCAAATGCTTTGACGACTCTTTCTCTGATGACTATGTTGATAAAGTAACTGCTGCTGGTTAGTTTTGTCTGATGTTGCTTGTGCAACCGTTTGATCGGCAAGATAGTCGTTTGATTTTTGTTGGTTTTTTTAATGTTGACACGATGTGTCTTTGGCATAGACGATTCATTGCTGTTCATGGAACTGTCCCTCAGATTTTTCTCATCCTCACTCTTGGTTCCGAGTCGTCGAGTGTCTCTTCTCTTCTGGGGTTTTATATTTGCAGCTTTTTGAACCTTTGAAGTGGCTTTTCATACAACAGGCAAAGCATTCTAGACCATAAGCCATGCACCTTTTCCTACCTTTGCAGGTTCTAGAAGAACATGTTGTACATGTGATTTTGTTGGCTCGTTCTTCTGGACTTCTCCTGGTGCTTCTTGATTTTCGCCAATACTTGCCTGGTTTTGTACGCAGCACATTATTTTCAGCAATTATTCTTTCCGCACTGAGGGCTGCTGATTCAATCCTTCTTCCGTTATCAATTAGCTTCTTTGGATCCCACTGATTCTTCAGTGCTTTTTTCTGATTTCTTGATTAATTGTACCAATGATTATTTGGTCACGTATCAGTATGTCTGCTACGGTGCATGTTTTACTGCACATGAATTTACAGGCCTTGGCAGGCCTTGCGAAGTTGTCAATACTTTCTTCTTCATCCTGATGCAGTTCATGAAATTCAAAATTTGCAATGGTGTAGTTACGGGTTGGCCCGTATCACTCTTTCATTTTATCGACAAAATCTTTGAATTCGAGATCTGCCACTTCACCTTCTGGCACGACATCTTCATAGTCTTTTTGAAGGTTTCTCGATGCAATCTTCCAAGGAATACTTTTCGCCTATTCCTCTCGATCCATGCGTCTCTGTGCCTTCCTCTTTTGAAGGATCTCTGGCAATGGCATCGTATTCCTATTGGGATGAATCTACAAATTCGCAGAATGCGTCATGATAATTGCCGCGGTGATTATCAGGATCAAATTTGTCAAGCTGTGTCATTTGGAAAGCCATGTTGGTCTGTACGTTAGGACTTCCAGAGTTATTAGTTGAGTTTATCCTGGTCGCCATTAATAAGTTCCACTTTATGCAAACACAAGATACTTAGATTTAAGGTTAAATTAAAGTCCTAACCATGCAGTCTAAAATACAACGAAACAGATAGTTAGTTGGCATGTAGCTAGTGAGAACAAGGTAATATGGGCCAGATTCGCAAACATAACACTACAGTCTAACTAGAATAATCCATAGTCAAAGATAAGTCAACCACAGGTGGACGTGGGCAAGACTTTTCATCTATAAGCTGACTATGTTCAAAACACTATTTTCTTTCCAGCATCGATGATCAATCTTTTTATATTTTCTTTTGACGCATGCCCAACTGTTTGGTAATTTTCAATGTATTGTTTTATAACTTTTTAACCCGTTTTCTGACTATAAAGATTCAGTTTCGAGGTCATAGACCAGTGGTTCCCAACCGATGGGAAATTTCCCACTAGTGGGAAATTTGGTGGTTGCAGGTGTCATTGCGACATCTTTTTTAAAGTCGTATTTGCATTTTGTACAGCTGTACTAACGATCTGTAATAGCCTGTAGAAACCGTGTGACAAAATCCTGTATTAATTCTTTGTCTTGTTGCATAGTCGCATGTAATTTAATACAAAGTGATGATAGGCCAATTTCAGACCAATATTATTTACCTCAGTGCAGATAACGCCAAATACCTGTTTTTTTTGTCAGCTAGAGTGCCAATAGGTGGATGATTCCCATAAAAAATACTAGTTCATAAATAAAAATATGTATCCTATCTCTTATCTATTGTTTCTAACATGCTTTCTGCGAAATTATTGTCAACAGTCGAACATATTAATAATTCGGTAATATTAAAGTTTGGATCTTACCTTAGTTGTCCAAAACTATAGCAAAATTTTATTGTATTTGAGCTACCGCTTATAAGGCTTCACGTACCTTGGAACTTGACAGTAAAATGAAAAATAATTAAACATTACTAAACATGCCAGGC